TAGGGACGTTTACACAACACTGCAGAGCCTTTGCAAACCAACAAGAGCTCAGGCTGAGGACAATAGGCCCAGTGGAAATAACAAAGTATCTAGACATCCTTCGGCAAAGAAGCCACAGTGTCAACAAAAGGAGGCACAGTCAGCTCTGACCAGCCTGCGTCGAATCAAGCCTTGCGCTGTGGTGCCTTACAAAACAGGCCTTGGAAGCAGAGGCAAAGATATCAGAATCACACATGTGGAAAAAGACAGGAATGTTGTCCCGCATCAAAAAAATTGCCCGAATACACAAACTGTGGTCGACTTCCTACCTCCTAAAAATATTCCTCCAACTCCAGAGAAAAATAGCATATCTTCTTTGGTTGTCTCTCAAAATGGCTCTTTGCTTGACAGAACAGACTTTGAGCTACTAACAGAACAGCAAGCCTCCAGTTTAACGTTCAACCTGGTGAGGGACTCTCAAATGGGAGAAATCTTCAAGTGTCTCCTGCAAGGATCTGACTTATTAGAAAACAACGGCATCGCTGGAGACAACACAGCCTGGTCCCTCGGTACACCAAGGAAGGACGGAGAGAGACTCATCAGTATCACTACACCAACTAAATTTGACTCTCCATCTAAACTTCTTTCCCCATCAAAATTCGAGACTCCCTCCAAACTTGTCGCAACATGGTCTAGCATTTCACCTCGCAAGATGTCTTCTCCACGGTCCAAAGATCAAATCCCACTGAACCCAGCTTTCTTTGATGAAAGTTGCTTGTTAGAAGTGCCATCAGAGAACAGAGCAATGCTGCAGTCCGGCTTGGCTTTACAGAGGTCGTATTCCATTCTAGCTGAAGATCTGGCTGTCTCCCTCACCATTCCATCACCTCTCAAGTCAGACAGCCATCTCAGCTTCCTACAGCCATCAAGCATGCACATCATGTCCACTCCAGACAGCGTCATCAGCGCTCACATAAGTGAGGACGCTCTGCTAGATGGGGAAGATGCTACAGAACAGGACATTCACCTGGCCCTTGACACCGACAACTCTAGCTGTGACTCCAGCAGCAGCGTGGCCTCAGAAGTGCTTGCCACGCCTTTCGTATTCAAGCCTGACCTGCTCATGCAGGCGCTAGTGATGGAGAAGTCTAACGATCATTTCATTGTAAAGATTCGTCAGGCAGCCACAGACGCAGATACCACGCTCACCGCTGATGACAGCTTAAGTAAAACACTAACGGAGGGAGATCAGCAACATGGAGAAGGTGGTGTGGCAAGTCAAGAAAGTCAAGCAAAAGCTGTTTTGTCAGACAAGTCGCAGAAAAGTACTGCTTCAAATTCTGTACCTTCAAAGAACAACCAGTCTAACCTTGCTGAAAGGTCTGGGATCTGTCAGGCTGCCACCAGTGCAGATACCCATCTCACTCAAGATGAGAGCTTAACACTAACAAAAGATCCACCCCACAAAAAAGATGAGTCAACTCAACAAAATACCTCAAAAAGTTGTTTTTCAGATGATTCACGGTCAGAATCCCCCCAAAATCTGCCTCAAACTACTCTTTCAAATAACAGTTTGCACTGTGATTCTCAAAACTCTGATCAGTCCTTTGGGCAGATCAGCCAGGCAACCATCAGAGAAGGTATCACAGCCACTGCAGAAGTGAGCGCAAGTCAAACACGCCACAGAGAAATAGACATGACATCTCAACAAAGTCCCTCAGAAGCTATTTTATCTGATTCAGACAACAGCCCACATCTGTCTGCCGAAGGCTCCAGAACAAAAAGAAGACAAGTGTTGCTGACACGTGTCAGAGATGAAATAAAGGTGTCAAAATCAGAGAGAAGTCTCACCATTGCAAAGGGGGAGGAGAAGTCCCACCATTGCAGCACATCAGAGAAAGACAAACGGGATTGTGGCAGAGGTAGAAAACGGAAGAACCACCAAGAGAAATCAAAAGCCAAGCGTCCCAGAAAGGAGGAAGAGGAGATTGCAGAAGAGGTGATTGTGTCTAACTACAAGAGAGATGATAGTGAATCCAAATCCTCCCCAGCATCTCTGTCCCCCAACAGTCTCTATGCAAAGAATGTCATCAGGAAGAAGGGCGAGGTGGTGATATCATGGACCAGGTCAGTAGTTGGTGCTCAGTTGAGTCACTCCCCCTCCCCAGGAATTTGTAAATAAGAGTTCTGATATATGTTAACCATCCTCATTATTTGCATTGGCTTGCCATTTTGTCCAATCCTCACAACATTTCAGCAGGTGTGTTTGCAAATGATAATCACAAGCCTAAAATACTTCAAATGAGTGTTAGAGTTACCCCTTACTGCTTACGGCACTGTGCAACAGTTGCCGCTCACTCCGGCTGCAACATGGCCGCAAAAGCTGATCGTAAAAATGGGGAGGAAAACATTTATCTATAGCCTACATACCCATAGTAGAAGCACAAATCAACTAAATCTGAGCAAATTCTGGTGGGCAAACAAGCCGCATGCAGGCGACATAAATGTCATGTCACAGCTAACTTCTTCAGGAATTTTCATGAACCTTGTGCAGTGAAACTAAATGAAGGAAGTTTCTTCCCTGAAAAGCATTTTTACCTGTGTCCCGCTTCTTCCAGAGATGAAGATCGTGCAATTCTGGTCGAGCTAAAGACAAAAGGTGCCTCACGTGAAACTTTCTCTGCCTTGTCAGAGAAACTTGATAAGCCATCAGGGCAGGTAAGTTCATGTTTTTTCTCACATGACTGTGCAAGCTGTAGTGAAGGAGCATATAATTCTTGCAATAACATATAATATACTGTTTTTCTTTTCTCAGATTGCTCACAGATTTTACCAGCTCATGAAGATTTTTAAGAAGCAGGAAAAGATGGACACTTGATCACTGCAAGCAAATAGCTCTCAGAATATTTACACACATACTGTGGCACCAATGCAGGTATGTAGGCTGCTATTCATGTGACAGTGCACAAAGAAGTGAACGCAAGGTGGCTGAGTCATTACAAGACCAGTGGGTCCCGTAATAAATGCCCATATATGCTGCTCTTTCCACCAAGATCTGGAGCCCTGTGCACTCCAGCCATCAGCTGGGTAGACATAAGGACAGCAGTTTTAGCTAAACTTTGTTTCTCAAAGGAAGGTCAGAAATGAAGTTACTGTCTGTGAAGGTATTTTGTTCTGAATATTTAATGGTACCTTTTCATATGGTTCAAAAATAATTCAGTTTGAAAAGAAGAGCTCTTCCTCAGCACAACTGATGGACAGATTGATGTGAACGATGAAATATCCCTTTAAAATACAGTTAACATCAGTGTTATTGGCATTGTTTTTCATGCACTTTTTGGTTTGTAAGAATCCACTCTGCAGTCACTACTTGGTGCTGGATATTTCCTGATGTCTGGTCGTCACAGAAGCATATAACTTCATCCTCAGAACAGCATCTATACAGGCTTTGCTTTCTCTGCCTTTGCAGATAGTCCTCAAGCTAATCTTAGGTCTAGTCCTAAACTTGTGTTTTTCTCAAAACAGTGGGGGAAAAACTGCCTTTGGACCTGGATCATTCCAGATTTCAGTGCAAGTACACTCAAATGCTCTTAAATGAAGTGACCATTCTAGTTCCTTAAAGTAGTAGATGCTGACTGGAAACAATTTGAAGCATCACCCATCAGTAGACCTTGAGTTATGGGACTGATAAGTTGGGCTTTTTATTATAATTTTGTTTGTGACATTTGAATCTTCTTTTAATGGATATATTTGTATATGGGAGGGGGCTTGATGGAAGGTTGTTAAAATGTTTACATGTCCAATTCATGAACAGGACAGTACATTTCTCTGTTAATACAAATGGAACCTTTTATCTGTTGGCCTTAATGGCTTTTTGTTTGACTCATCCTATTGCATATAAACAGCATGCAATGCAATATTGTGTATATTGTGCGTAATTCTTTACTGAAAATAAAGTTTTATTTATTTATGCTGATGTCTATTCTGTTTTATAACTGTATTAACAAAATTCTGGAAGTATTATAAAGGGGAATAAAATATCTATTCCACTTTGTGCTAACGGAAGATAACACCATGACACGAATATTCATGAAGTGCATGGAAATCGAGGTCAGTGCCTAGGGCTGCTGTTTGTAACTCAGTAGCACAGCAGTCAGTGACATGAAGTGGAGGACAGAAGTAAACCTGATGCTAGAATTAGACCCAAACTGATATATTGACCTATCATCACATACCTAGGTGTATGTGTTGTCCAATATGAAAACAAAAACAATGCCTATAGTAATATGTTGATGTCACTAAACACTTTATCCAGCAGAGTGTGCTGTGATTTACAATACTGTGGCAAGCTCCTCAGAGTAGGAGAGAAAAAGCATAAAATCCCAAGTAAAAGTATTATGTATGTATTATGAAAGTAAAATGTCCCTTCTAATTTAGGATTCTATCTGACATTAGATTAATATTGATTCATCAATGTCAGAGCAACATTTTACTGTTGTGGCTGCTCGATGTGGAGCTATTTAAAGGTCCAGTGTGTAACATTGAGGAGGATCTATAGTCAGAAATGCAATATAATATACAAGGGTATGTTTTCACTAGTGTATAATCACCTGAAAATAAGAAATGTGTTTTTGTTACCTTAGAATGAGCTGTTTTTATCTACAGGCGCAGTGGGTCATCTTCCATGGTAGCCCAGAACAGACAAACCAAACACTGGCTCTACATACATGCTTGGAAGGCTGAGCTTTTCAGTTGGTTGCAATCTGCAAATTCACCCCTAGAATCTTAGAAGAGAGAATTTTAGAAGGGAAATCACTTTTGGTGGCTGCCAACAACTCATTTACATCTGAAACGTGTGGCAAGGGGAACCAACTAGACACTGACACTTTAATCTATCAATGCCCTGTATTCTATAAGCTTATCACATAGTTTTTATTTATGTGTATTTATTATTATTATTTATGTATATTTTTATTGTGAAAATTAACAAGTAACTACAGCTCTCAGATAAATGTGGAGAAGGAAAAACATTTTTCCCTCTGAGCTGTAGATGGGTGGTACGGTCGAGCTTTCAGTTGGTTTTTTCAGTTCATCCTGAAGGTGTTGAGGTGTTGGATGGGGTTGAGGTCAAGGATCTGTGCAGAACAGTCAGGTTCTTCCACGGCAAACTGGGAAAACTATTTCTTAATGGAGCTGGCTGTGTCCACGGGGGCATTGTCATGTTGAAACAGGCAGGGGACAAACACAAACTGTAGACACAAGGTTGAATGCACACTATTGCACGCTATGTACTTTATAAGCAAGAAAGTTGAACACATTGTGCATGGCTGTGTATTGATATCTCGGTTGGTGCTATTTCCAGTGTAGTGTCCTGTTAAAAGGGGCGGTATGAAATAACCTTGGGGCATTATAGGACCATGTGGTGGATCAATGGCTTCAAACTGGGAGTCCTAGTTTGCAACAGCATTGAAATAGTGTCAGCTACACTGCACAGTGGGGTCTCGTCTCTCTTCAAGGGACGACAAACGAGCCCTGATGTCTCCACAAATGAATCTGCTCTTTTATAATGGCTTTTTGCTGAGGCACATGAGACAAGGACCCTAGAAAACTTGTAAGTAAAACCATTTTTATTGCATTTTTACTCTCCATTTGATGAAAAGTACAAACCACTACCAATTTATTCACTGACAGATATAATAATATGACAGAAGATGGGGGATTGGAACTTATTAGGGAGTATTTTAGAAGAGGTCCACATTCATTCCACCATTGTGGGGAAGATCTGGCTCACTATCCTCTTCATTTTCCGAATGCTTGTGCTGGGCGTTGCGGCTGAGGACGTCTGGGATGATGAGCAGAGTGAGTTTGTTTGCAACACGGAGCAACCGGGCTGCAAGAATGTCTGCTACGACCAGGCTTTCCCCATCTCCCTCATCCGCTACTGGGTCCTACAGATCATCTTCGTGTCTTCTCCCTCGCTGGTCTACATGGGCCACGCATTGTACCGTTTGAGGACCCTTGAGAAGGAGAGGCACAGAAAGAAAGCCTGCCTTAAAGCTGCGCTGGAGGGGACAGACCCAGTCCAGGAGGACCATAAGAGAATTGAGCGAGAGCTCAGGAAACTAGATGAACAGAGGAAAGTAAGGAAAGCTCCCCTTAGAGGCTCTTTGCTGCGCACATATGTTTTCCATATCTTAACCAGATCTGTGGTGGAGGTGGGTTTCATCATAGGTCAGTGTGCCCTGTACGGCATTGGACTGTCTCCTCTGTACAAATGCGAGAGGCTGCCATGCCCCAACAGTGTTGACTGCTTTGTGTCAAGGCCAACAGAGAAGAACATTTTCATGGTTTTCATGCTGGTTATTGCTGGAGTTTCTTTATTTCTCAACCTCCTGGAGATTTTCCATCTGGGGGTTAAGGAGATCAAGCAAAGCTTGTATGGATACAAATACGGAGACGATGACAGTGTGTACAGGTCGAAGAAAAACTCCATGGTGCAGCAGGTTTGTGTGCTCACTAACTCCTCACCACAAAGACTGATGCAGCTCACACAGATGACCTGCTCTGTTGTGTCTGATCCTCACGGGGAGACCCTGCCTTTGAATTTGGCTCCTCAGAATCCGGAGAGGTCCCACAGTTCCAACCAGCAGCCTGCACAGAAGTACCCGTCAAGCCAAGCGGACATCCAGGGTCTCCAGCAGCTGGGGGCTGTGGAGCGGCGCTACACTCTGGACAACAAGAACCCCTCATGCAGCAGCGATGAGTCAAATGGACCTCACAGTTCGGTCCAGCCGCAGTATGCAGGACCTCGACCCACACTCATGGCCGGCCACATGGAGATCCCAGCAGCCTTGAGGAACCCACAGAGGAAGCAAAGCAGAGTGAGTGCTTGTAAGGAGCTCAGTGACATGAGTGATTCTCCGGAAAGCGACCACTACCCCACAGCCAGGAAGTGCAGTTTTATGTCCCGAGGAATGTCGGAAGACAAGCTGGCCACTGACAGCACCGATTCTCAGAGTGGAACAGACATCGAAGCCCAGCACCTCAACCAGGGAGAGAGTCCAATGACCCCACCGCCACCAGCCAGTGGGAGGAGGATGTCCATGGTGAGTACAGAAAATGATCATCCAATCACATTCTATCTGAAGCCTCTAAAGCAACAAATGTTCCTACTAGGCTATCTGGTGAGTAAAACTGAATATATTCATGAAGTGGTACCATCTATTTAAAGTATTACTTCACACAAGGCTGAAAAGCAGTGTCACTTATGGAAGATGTACAATGCCTAAATAAAAGCAAATCAAACAAAGAAATAAAGTGAATACAATTACACACTGTCATATGCAGTGCTGGGGGTTGTTACTCAAAATAAGTAATGTATTACGCATTACTCATGACTTTTTTTATAGTAATGCACTACTTTACTTTGCACTACATTATTTTTGCGTTACTTTGCACCATTGCAGTACAGTAGCAGGCTTATCTGATGTGTTTATCACTGAAGCAGTGGTTGTACCTTGTCAGGCAACCTGTTCTTCCTCGGGGTCTGCACAAGACTGCCAAGGCTGAGAGCCTCTCTATGGGCACACTAGACGCTGTGTTGATTTTCGTTGATATTGTAGGGAAACTGTTCAGTGATGTAGTTAAAGGAAGAAGAAGTCTCCCAGGAGATTGCTGACATAATTGTTTGATTAGTAACTAATGTGATTACTGAATTTAGGAACAGTAATATGTTACATTACTGTGTCATACCGTCTTATGTATTTCCTTTTCATGTATGGCTGTCATCAGCTTGTGTCAGTGACACCAAGCTCTGGCCCTAGGCTGTGATTGGACAACTAAAGCCACTGCTCTGCATTTAGTATTGACAGGTCTTTACTGCTCTCTGCTGGACCTCACTGACATGTAATACCATTCTCCACCTGATTTTAATGTGGCATTAACAATTCATGCCAAAATGAACAACTGCATTCAATTGTTAACTATGTGCCACATTCACCCTTTCACACACATTCACACAGCGATGGCAAAGTCCATTGAACAGAAACTAATGCATTCACACAGGAGCCATTTGGGGCTCTGTATCTTGCTCAAGGATACTTCAACATGTGGCACCAAGAGCCCTCTGTTGGTATCCAGCACCATAAACAAAAATCCATTCACCTCCTTTGTGTTGTGACAGTCAAAAATCTCTAATACACGACCTGTGTCACCCAGTCTGTTTTGGGTCATTGTGGATCTCAGTCTATAAAAACAAGGCTTCCCACCCGGGCGGTTCATCCAATAATCAGAAAGTTTGCGGTTCGATCCCCGGCTCCTCTCACTGCATGTCGTCAGAAGACCAGAAAAGCATTATACACCGATCAGCCATAACATTGTGACCACCTGCCTATATTGTGTAGGTCCACCTTTTGCCGCCAAAACAGCCCTGACCTGTCGAGGCATGGACTCCACTAGACCTCTGAAGGGGTCCTGTGGAATCTGGCACCAACACATTAGCAGCAGATCTTTTAAGTTCTATAAGTTGTGAGGTGAGGCCTCCATGGATCGGACTTGTTTGTCCAGCTCATCCCACAGATGCTCCATTGGATTGAGCTTCAGGGAATTTGGAAGCCAAGTCAACACCTTGAACTTGTTGTGTTCCTCAAACCATTCCTGTACCATTTTTGCTTTGTGGCTCATTATCCTGCTGAAAGAGGCCACTGCCATCAGGGAATACTGTTTCCATGAAAGAGTGTACATGGTCTGTAACAATGCTTAGGTAGGTGGTACGTGTCAAAGTAACATTCACAAGGTTTCCCAGCAGAACCCATGCTTCACCCAAAGCATCACACTGCCTCCACCAGCTTGCCTTCCCATAGTGCCATGTGTTCTCAGGTAAGCGACGCACACGCACCAGCCATCCACACCATGTAAAAGGAAACGTGATTCATCAGACCGAACCACCTTCTTCTATTTCTCTGTGGGACATTTTTGATGCTCATATGCCCATTGTAGGCGCTTTCGGCAGTGGACAGGGGTCAGCATGGGCAACCTGACTGGTCTGCGGCTACGCAGTCCCATACGCAACAAACTGCTCTGCACTGTGTGTTCTGGCACCTTTCTATCAGAACCAGCATTAACTGTTTCAGCAGTCTGAGCTACAGTAGCTGGTCTGTTGGATCGGACCACACGGGCCAGCCTTCACTCCCCATGTGCATCAGTTAGCCTTGGCCCAAATCATTACATGCGAAACAAAACACAGGTTCCTTTGAAGGAGAATAGATTGACCATTCTCCTGGCACAGTTTCACCATTTGCCAGTTTTCTTTTATACAGGGTTTGAGAGAAGTACTTCTTTTGGTGTTTGTATTATCCCAGCATGCTGAGTCCGAGCTTTAGGTAGCGAGCCTCTCCGCAGCAACAGGTGAGGCCGTCATGGGTGTGGTGGCTGGAACATAATGGCTGACTCCCTGGGTGTTAGTAGTACAACATACCGGTGTTTCATGTGGTCAGACTCCTTATCAAGGTGAGATAACTGTGTCAGCTTGGTGTCTTTGGCTCGGGCTAACTGCGGCTAGCTACAGCTCCCATTGCAGTTTCTACCGCGTCAACATTAGCCGTTAGCCTGGTGTCCTGTTCTTAACCCGAAGAAGATTCAGCAGAAAAAAGAAAATTCCTGAAAATTTAGGAAATTGTTTGAGTAACGTTAGACCTTGGTCACTCTTTTGTTTCAGCCATTGTGCTTTTGTTTTTTGTGCTCTGCTATCATATTTTCTTTCTGACATTTTGCCACTATGTTGTTCAACTGAAGTATTTCAAAACAAAACGGACCTCATGAGCCTGGCAGCTGATTATAGTTGAAAGTGCTCCTTATCTACCCAATAAGATGCTTACATTTAAGATGGACAACATGACAGCTTTTCTAAAAGCAAAGCCAAAACACCTCTAGTGGCGGAAATTTGAAGTACATGATAAATACATTCTTCCTAAGGATGGTTTCTGTCATTGTAGGTCTTGTGGTTCTTTAATCCCCTGAAAACTTGTCAGACTGTCAGTGTGTGGGATGAAGGTAAAGATTGTAGTCCGGTGGTATTTCCACAGCGTCAGAAGTACAAGTCCGAACTACTACACCAGAATATAAAAATATTAAGTAAAGGGTTAGCAACAGCTAGCATAAACTACTGTGAATGATGTGTCTCGATCAAAAAGAAAATTGGCGCAGTTTCACAGACTCCCACTCAAAGTGGAGTCTGGGGGAGGTGGGTCGGGGTCCTCTGATTAGAGGGCATTAACTGGTTTTATAGAAATGTTATGATGTAAAGTAGTCCCAAACTATCCACTCTATGTCAGCATTGGACCTAAAGGTTCAGGGTGATTTAAAACACTAGAGGGAATATTGAGACATTTTTAACCCACAAAATGCAGATTTTCATAAATTTGAATGTCAGTTTTAACACCAGCATTGATGTGTTTCATCCCAGTACAGTCATATAATTCAGTTAACAGCTCAGAAAACACATTTCAGAGTGAACTACCTCTTTACCTCAGGGGCGGCTGTGGCTCAGAGGTAGAGAGGGTCATCCACTGATCGATCCCCGGCTCCTCTCACTGCATGTCGAAGTGTCCTTGATCAAGATACTAAACCCCAAATTGCTCGTTTCCATTCTGATGAGCAGTTGGCACCTTGCATGGCAGCCACTGCATCAGTATATGAATGTGTGTGAATGGGGTGAGTGTGGCATGTAGTGCACAGCGCATTGAGTGGTCGAAAGACTAGAAAGGCGCTATATAAGTACAGTCCATTTACCATTTAAATATTCATGAACAATAATCAGCAATTAAAGATTGAAAACATTCTTAGATATTATTTATTTAGGATCCTATCCTACTGCTGCTGTTAAGACAAATGAGTTTGTGTCTGTAATTTTAACAATAACCATATATCGTCTTCTTTCTTTCTTTCTTTCTTTCTTTCTTTCTTTCTTTCTTTCTTTCAGAGCATGATTCTGGAGCTGTCTTCCATCATGAAAAAGTGAACTGAGATTGACTAAGCTTGTGGCATATGGGAGCTCTAAAGGGACTGAGGGATCCTGATCACAAAGCGAATCTCACCCTGTCTCTTCAGTTTAACTTCCTGTTTCCACAGTATGTTTATACAGTGTGTATTGTGCATGACCAAGAACTTCACTTCAGATATGTTAATATGACATTCCAAGACAAAAGAAGCTTAGTAATTTTCTTCATGTGCAAATGATATCTCCAGCCTCTTTAACATTGATAGTTTGCAAGCTACTTGCTATTTAGGGTTGTGGGTAGTTTTTAGAGACCATAAATCAAATGTGAATTAAATTTATATTTGGCTCAAAGCTTATGTGACAGCTCATAAAATGAGACCAAAAGCCTGTTGCTATGACATTTGACTGAAGATTGTAATTAAAGATTGTGGAATTGGCAACCACAGAAAAGCTGAGAGAGCTCTCTGAACCGGTGTTTATGATTTATCATACAGAACGAGCCGGAGAGAAAAGGGCTCTTGAATTTCAACGTTTTGTTTTGACCAAGAGCAGCCTAATACAGTTGATGAATATATCTGACACATTGAAGCTTTTATTGCGAATATTTCTGTTGTCCTGTTGTTGTTTTTCTATTAAACTCTTCTCCCTCTTCAGCAGGACCAAACTGTTGGTCTGAGTGCTATGTTGTTCAGTCTAATGAAGCTGGCACTGTGTTTTTGCTGGGATCTGAAAATGGTGATGTCAGACAGTCGGCCGTTCGCTGTCCAAAACTTTGTCCACAGTGTATCTTCTGTGGATATTCATATTTTCCCTGGGTCAAAAACATTTCTGAAAAACTCTTCAGAAGCAAGGATTCAGAAAGGATTTTTCATTATTTTGGTCTTAACATGACCTTCACTCTTTCTATGGAAGCTCATTTCCACCAGTGTGATGTAAAAAGTTAAAAAAGTTATTATAATGAGAAACTTTCTCAAAATATTGGAAAAGTTCTTGTTACAATTCTCCTTTTTTAATTTTTGTATGTAAAACACCAGAATACTATGAATTCAATGACAGACATTCATACTCAAATGCAGGGGGCAGCAAAATATCATTCAATTCATTTAATCTGACATTTTAATCAGTGGTGAAATCATCGAATCCATGACACACTTTAAATTATAGGCCTTATAAAAAACAAGTTAGTATGTTCATTTTTCCCTGTCTGTCTTACCGCATAACAACATCACACAAACATGACTCCAAATGAGCGCTAATGTTGCTCTGTGTCTGTTAGATGGGTTAGGTAATTGTTCATCATATTAACTTTAGAAGATTTCAAACTTAATAAGGTTGTATGTCAGTGTTGTGTTCAGGGGCAGAGCCAGATCTCGTAAAGAGTCAGGGGCATTGTCCCCCGCTGAGATCTTTTTCCATTTACAGCAACTATCTCTACCTGCCAACACTCCTGTTTTTCCCGGGTTTCTCTTGTATGTCAAGGCCATCTCCTAGAGACCTCTTATTTAATTGATTGATTGATTGATTGATTGATTGATTAATTTTATTTCTGAATTATCGGACACAGGAAAATAAAGAACAAAAATCCAAAGGTTAACATGTTAAAGTGAAAACACGTATTTCCAACATGGTCCTAAGATGTTAGAAGACAAAAGAATACAAAGACATTCAACATAAAAAACTAAAAACAACATAGTTCTATAATCCACAAGCACATTTCACAACATCTAAAATACCTCTATCAAAACAAACAAGAACAACTAAAATAACATTGCTGCCCTGGTATTAGAGATGTTGAGTATGGACCATTGTTATCTGAGCTCACAAGTATTGAGGAGCATACCCATTGATAATATTGTACATATGCGGCAGCTTCTGTTGTTTTACTTTGAGGTGTACTGACAGCTACCCTAAATTCATCACTACAACTGAGGGGATACATTTAATAAGTACTGAATAGTATTATTTTGCATCACCTGCAATTCACAATGCCACTGTATCAATGATGACACCAGAAGTTTCTCAAAAGAAAAATATAAAAGTCTTGTTCTGCAAAATAAGAACTTAAGTTTGCTGACACACTTGGACAATATCTTACCAATATTATTCCTAAATACGAGACACTTGTCTCAGAAACAATTTCAGCCCCATTACAAGACACTTTTCAATTTGTTCTTGACAGCTTCTTTGTTCCAAACAGGACTGACTCGGTTTTACCCAAGTGTATTGAAAACTTATTTTCTGAGAGCCACTCTCTCATGCTTTCTAATTCATTACTGAGTGTTCTCAATCTCACTGACATAATTCCCAGATACCACTAATGCAGAATCATCAGCGTACAACAAGAACTTACATGTCATGGCTGCTGGCATATTATCTACATCTGATTTAAAACTGTTCTTAAAAAGGGGAACAACCCTAGCTCTAGTTCACAGGGAGATTAACCCTGACTTATAAGACACATTTACTATATGAGTAACTACACTAGAAATTATCCCTCAGAAATCTGGCTAGAATAAGATCCTAGAATAAGATTGTTTGTGAGCAATGCAGCTCGACGCGCCCTTAACTTTTCCACTGAGACAGGACTTATTTCAAATTCATCAGGAACAACATTTTTGTCTTTGTAGTAAGAATTTACGCATGACAAACCATATCTCCCTGAACCACAGGGTAATTTAGCACCAATGCTCGTGAACAAATAATTAAGTTAGCTCACAACCTTCCCTTTATCAAAACTAATCATATCCTCAGACCAATATTACCAGATTTTATTCAGGACTTCTGCTGAGCCCGTTTCGTGAAGTACTTTTCATAGTTTTTTGGCTTGTGTGAATTTTCAGCAATGGCATCCACATAAAATTGGGACTTTGATTTATCTATCCAATATCTGGCTTGATTTCTAAACAATATATATTTATCATAATCAACTGCCTCAAAACATTCACAAAACACAGACCATGATATGCACGTTTCTTTATTTCATAAAGAGAAATGGTGTCTAGACAAAAAAGTAATTTATAGAACACTAGCAATTGAAATGAATGAAAATGGGGTTTGCACAATACCGTATTTACAATGGTTATTAAGTCATTTTAATTCATTAGGGTCATGTAGCATTTAAAAATTATAAAGGTAAGAACTCTTAGTAGAGAATAAGCAAATAACAGCTATTTCAAATTGACAATATTAACACAAAACAATCATCTAGAAAAATGAAAGAAAAAAACAACAACTTGAACTACAAGCTTAAGAGCTATTACATTAAAAATGATGCACCAAGATCTACTAATACAATAATCCATATAATCTGTGTAAAAAGCATGTAGAAAAAACACCTGATGCAGTTTGCTGATACAGTCATTGACCAGTTATGAGAGGTATGAAGGATTTCACAGGTAGATAAGTGTGAGAAAGTCCGCACTGGTGACTCAGGGATGGGGGCCCAGGCCCCTGCATACACTCACTTCACTTGAATGTGAACTATGGCCTCTGCAAGTTCTAAGGCAAATATCGGAGGTGCACTTGTATCCATGTAATGCTGACCCATCCCCAAAGTTGGATTAAAGACAAGGTGAGGAAACTCATTCTTTGTCTCTTTACACAACACCAAGAATCAATCCAATTGAACCAAGCGTCAATTTTACATGGCAAATTATCAAACATGACATGACACCTATTTGTAAACATTTTCCATTTTTATATTTTACTCGATGATCTTAGCCTGCGCTTTCAAGAAGGATACCAGATTTATTTTTTTTTCAATAAAGTTGAGCAATCTGTGAGAAAGGCATGTTTTTGTTCATATTTTACAGAACAACCTTTGGAGTTGAAAAGCCAGTGTTTGTTTCAGAGAAGCAGCAACAAAAAAAAAAGTTTAACTAAACAAGACAAATCCACAGCAAAATGGTAACGAGCATTCAATGAACAGAGTTACAGTGAAATTGTTCACTTAAATCAATCTGCTGCAATGGCCACAGCCAAAAAGAGTTTGGCTGGCACAAAGTAACCTGGAGGATTCCTCATATCTAAGTATTTCATTTAATTTTCTATGCATAGAATTATTACTGTTACATCATTTAAAGCTGCACTAATCAATATTTGTATTTGAACAATGGATCATGTGTAATGTGGTAGGTGTTACTCGTAGTGACAAACCAGTAGAGAATTTGTTTGTTTTTGGTTTTACAACCAGGGAATTCATTTCTAGCTGTTTTTAGCAACAACAAAAAAAGCCTTAACAAACTCATTGTACGCTACCTGCCTAGCACCAAACAGCACAGATACAAAGTTAGCATCTATCTGGTGAACATAGTGGAGCCTTTAGCAGCTAAAGAGTCACATCTTTTTCTCAGGGGGAGTTTGAGGCCAAAACAGAGTTAAAAAAAAGAGTGAATATTGGACTTACATTCATCAGATGGAAACAAACAGCTCTCCAACTGAATGCTAATGCTGCTCTCTGTCGGCTTGATGTGTAAGCAGGCAACTGTTTGCTCATTTGTTAGGTGACAATATGACAGTGTTGTGTTAACTGATTACTCTGCTGCCCCCAGGTGGCTAAAAATCAATGAATGCAGCTTTAAGTGACATTAACATCTAATTTTAGGGGACATTTTATTTGACTCTTAAACAAAGTAAAAAAAAAGGAAGGCAGAGGTCTGATTGAGAGTGATACAGAGAGCATGCTCAAATGATTGGCACCCTGAGACACTAAAGGGTCAGGTCACCCAAATTACAATAATTATATATATATATATATGTAACTTTATTTGTATAGTGCCAATTTATAACAGAAGTTATCTCAGGACACTTTTCAAATAGAGCAGGTCTAGACCATACTCCTTAATATATATATATACACACATGTAATAATTAATTGAAAACGTAATTACCTCTGCTGGTATCTAGACAGTCTGACACTGTCTAAGATTTCTGCCACCAGCCCGATAGAATGGAGTTGAATGGAATTTCAATTATATTAGTTTTCATTAAAATAACTAAACCTAACTACAAAAACTGTTCACAGTAAGTGATTATCCAAAGCAAAAGGACACTACTTCTGCAAGAAGATGCTAAATTTTGCTAAACAAACACTTTACAACCAAAACTCTTTTTTTGTACATTTGAGTGAGCTGACCCGTTAAACAACAGCTGACCTGTTGAAGATGCTGACATGAACTCATCTCACCACTTAAGCCGAGGCTGTTACTGTGCTTTGAGCAAACAGTCAGTGTTGGAGCAATGCAGCAAGACCTGAAGAGGTCAGAGGTTCTGGACAAAAAGCTTTTCAGGGGCGACCGTTTATTGTATCTTTCATCTTAGCTCTGCAGGAATTTAAAGGTTGTCAGGTTGAATTATCAACATTCAAAATGTGTAACAGAAAGTCTGCTATGCAAAAACAAGAATGTGATCATTGCAGTATTATTAGGACATGTGAAAAGACACCCAGGGTCCTTTGTTACAATAGTTTTGCTACAACACAACTTTTCTCCAAACAGAAAAACAAAGTCAAGAGTTGGTGCTCTCCAATGCAACACCTTAATGTAACATCAAGCAAATAAAAAAAGTACATGAATAGAAAATGAGTTGCATAATGTTTGCAGAAAAGAAGCTTCTGGTATAACGTAGATGATTCCACTTGAGTTTTCTGGCTTGAACCTGGTAGAATCTCCACATGGTAAATACTGTTTCGCGCACAAGAATGAAAAAGCACAAATAGGAAAAAGGGCTGAACCACGGCCGCGCCGCACGCAGGCTGTGCCCCAAGAAACGCATGTACTGTGGGCGTTCTGTATTCTGTATCACGTGTGTGTGTGCATGTGTTTGTGCATGTATGGGTCTGTATATTCTACAAAGCAGGGACCGTTCTTTTAACAATTAAAGACGGGTTCATAAAATACACTTATACTCTGTTCGGCTGAATAACAGAAACAGCCTTACGTGTGAGATCATATTTTAACTACATCTAAAAATTACATTGGTTAAAGTCAGGGGGAGAACTTCAAGACATATCATCCACACTTTAAAGCCCCAATCACAGGTTAATTTAAAAATGTTTAGCTTCAAAATGACCTTAAAAGGGTAATGAAACACTGTGTTTCAGCCTAGCTCACTAGCCCTCCCAGTTGACCTGCTCTATATGGCTATGGGGTTTACTATCCATATTTTTAGATTGACCTATTATATAAGGTTGTATATGGTATATATTTTTTATATACACCTTCTGTCAAAATTGGAACCCTTTGTGACTTTAAGTAAATGTGTCCATTAAAGGCTGCTGAAGTATGTTTAAGTGTTCATTTTTCTTCAGTTTAGTTTGAATTAGTTATGTGATACTATAAAAAGGGGGGTTCATGTCATGAAATGAATGACGTCACCAGCTCAAGATGGCAGCGGCCGTATCTGGATATTTCAGCTCCATTTTGTACAGTGGGAGAAACCAACAGTTACAATGACATATTTTGGTTGGTTAAACTTCATGGAAGCTGCAGTTGTTTGCCTGCTAACAAAATCCTGGTTGTTTAGATTTTTTAAATCACAAAGGGTTTGCATTTTTAATAGCGAGTAAGATACTCTTTTTGAGTGAGGATAGTAAACTTCAGAAAGAGTGTGGAAGAAATGCTCAATGAGAGATTATGCTGAGCTACAGAAACTAGCCTAGAGGTGACTAATGGGGAGCGCCATTTTGGATTGGGGCTTTGAAGAGCAATGAATAAAGCTTCACATTCCAATTGAATTCAACCTTTGCTCTAGAGTTCTCGCACATGAAGCCAGCCTCTAGTGAGGGTTGAGATAATTCAGCTTCTTTATACATAGAAATTTTAAAAATATGATTTTAAAAGCAGACTGCTCCGGAGAGAACTTACGAGGCAAACAGAAGCTAGAAAAAACTAACTAGGCTCACAGCTATAGGCAGCATGCATGCACATCACAGACTGGGATGTTCAAACAAATGCACAGTTAGGGCAAAACGTGTTACTATCTTATATGATTGTTACTTAATCATTTGGACAACACATAAACCATTTTCACGTCAAATGAAATCTGAATTAGCTTATTCAATTCCTAAAGAAATACAAATAGAAGGTGTGAACAATCTTATACTAAAGCATTAGCTTCCTTTTGTGTTTAGGTTTCAGATACATCTTTTTCATAGAGATATTTTATTGTATATTATCATATCCACATGTTTCCTTTTGAAGGGCCAATTTAAGTGCTCCCGTCTTAGACTTTTAAGGGGTCTGAAACAAAGACGAAGACCCTCATTGAAGTGCTAAATGGCTCTGAGCGCTTGGGGCCGGAAACAAAGTGCCCAAATTAAGTTAAATTATTTTCCTTTGTCAATAGGTGTTTCGTTTTATTCAGGATCAGTTTGAAAAAAATGAAAGTTAACTTAGATGTAGGCTGCGCTCTGTTCTCTTTCCCTCGTACATCAAACAGCAACACTGAAGAAAACCAAAGCGTGTCTGCGAAAGTGTACACAAATAGCGTCTTTAAATACTGATAAGAAATAAGATTTCCTCTGAAAAAACACAAGGCAGAACTCTTTTTTTCACATTTAAAGAGGAGTCAAAGGTGGACAGGATCTGGCTTGAGCCTGCGTGTTAAAAACACGTCTTGAATGTCTAACTTTTTATACATGCATGGGGCTCAAAATTCTATGTGTGTGTTGATGTGTGTTTCTGTATGTACTGTATAAGTGTGACACATGGGTGTCAAGCTGATTTCCTGAGTATAAGAACACCCGCCATGATGGGGAGTATTCGTTAGGCAGGACAGGAAACAGCAAAGCAAAGATTTTTTTTTCCCTTAGCAAAAAGGTGCTTGATATAACCCCGGTGAGAAAGAAACATCTAAGCCGCTACCTGTACAAAATCACTGTTACAGTCATCATGCTCCATACTATTTACATTTCTGCCAAACAAGCACTTGAAAGTCACCAGTACAACATCCAAATACAATGGTATTGCTGATGAGTGGGAAATAAAAAATAGCCATTTAACCGCCTGCAAAGACTTTTTTTTTCTTCCTTTCAATTCAGTGCTGAGGAAGGCAAGGAGGAATGTTTTCGGTTACAGCCTGTACAAAGTTGTCCTGTACAGAAATACAAATGCGAGACGCTTGAAGACATTTTTGCATATGAACATTTTACAGCCGAACTGCATCATTAACTCCCTCGCGTACAGAAGCTGTATTCTCATTTTTTAGGAATCGACCCTTCCTAAGTCCCGCCCCTTTTTGCTCTGTGCTCCAATAACAGTTGAGCAAGCCTCAGTCAGGACCTCTGTCACTTTTCTCCTTCCCTGTACGTAGATATGCTACGTGCTAGGCTAATTTATGTTAAAAACGACAACCACATTTTGATAACTGTTAAAAGATAAAAGTGAGATACATAGAGAGATAGTGCACACCAATCGTTAGCTGGCTAGGTAGCTAGCATGCATAGCAAACCACTAGCAAGTATTGGAGTAGCTAGCGGTTTCTACATTAATTGCTGATAACTAATGTTAGCATAATGGCATCTAATTAGCTAGCTAACAGTTGATGTGGATGAGCAACCTATTTATCAAGTGTACTGTAAATGTCGCTTTTTATCTTTAAACCTTCTTTTAAATATGGTTTTCAACATAGACTAGCCTAGCACATAGCATAGCATAACTAAGTACAGGAAAGGAGGAAGTTGACTGCGGTTCCAAAAGAGTTGGGACTCAGGCAGGGCGAATTAGATTGAACATTCAGAGGATATTTTATTTTATTTTCCTGAGTTTGAATTGCTGTGACGAAAAGGGCCACTGAGATATAGTGAGAGAAGAACCATAGACGGAGAGAGAGAGAGAGAGGGGGGGGGGGAGAGAGAGAGGGACAGAGAGAGGTAGAGGAGATTGATAGAGACAGAGTGGGAAAAAAAGAGAAGAGCAAAATGAGAAAGAGGAAGGCAGGAACAGAGATACTGTTGGTACACAGGGAGACAAAGAGAGCTGCTGTTTAGGTCCGATGAGGTTCAACTATGAGTTGTGATGTGTGACGACGCGGAGAACAGAGTCTCCACTGTAAAGGTTGCTGCCGGGGAGAGTATAGCACCATTGTAAGGGTTTGGTGAGAAGTTCCCCACTCTGTCATGGTAAGAGGAGAATACCTGGAGAACAGTATTGCTGCTGTTAAGACAACTTTAGTGTCAACCGTTCCAAAAAAAAAAAAAAAAAAAAAAACAGCACAAAAAGACATAAATACAAACAAAGCTTGTTTATCAGTGAACACTGGCGGAGGCTGACCGTCTCAGCAACCCCGAGAGAGGGGTTTGTCAGAAGAGTAAAATTAAATAATAAAAAACAACACAGAGAACCACCACTACTTAGTACAGTCCTTCCTTGGCTGCTCGTCAGTTGTACATTTCTCAGTCATTTCCTGGCAAAAATCCACTGTTACCGTCTGGTTGGATTTTTCCACGGACAGCCCTGACTTTGTGTACAAGCTGGTGTCCCGGCCGTCCGTATCTCTGTCCGCCCCATTCCTGACGGCTGAGTCGGGCTCGCTCTCTGAGGGGCCGGGCGACCCGTGGAAGCTGGGCTCCGGCGTGGCCGAGCCCGAGTGGGTGGTGAGGTCGATGCTGGTGGTGGTGTTGGCGGCGGGGCTGGAGGCAGGCTTGGGCTGGTGGGCGGCGTTGTTGCTGGCAGTGGAGTCGGCGGGCCGCAGCACGGGGCAGTAGTGGTGTAAAGACTGGACCTGCTCGGGGCTCAGCTGGACGTCTCTGCACACCTCCTGCGACAGGCAGGAGAAGTTCTCCCACAGCTCGCCCATACACGCCTTCAGCTGGTTCCTCTCCATCAGCAACTTCTCCTTCTCACACACCTGTACACACACACACACACACACACACACACACAAGAATGAGTCTCACTGTAAAGGTAGGACAGCAGAGAAAGCTCCCTCTCGCTGTGATGGTAATGGTGAATTTGTGTCAACTGTGATTGCAACATCACAACTTCCTGGAGGGACTGCTTCATGGACCGATTGTTTTTGAGATTGTGTTTTTCAGGGTGCTGGTTGTTAAAGTGCAGTAAATATGCAACACGAGCTCAGGGCTAACACTGAACATGTAAAAAGTTTAGGTATGGAAAGTGCTTCGTTTTCTTTATGCATTGTAAAAAAGTGTTTAGATTTACTGCACACATTACTACAGCTCTGCTCTGAAGGATAAAAGATTTATTTTCGGGCCAAAGATGCAAATTAAATCAATATTCAGAGTGTAGTGTTTACATGATGAAATACTGCTTTTTAAGTAAATAGAGGGACTGGAGGAGACTATTGCAGTTTCTACTTACTGCCAGAAGAGGGGGACAAAGCCCATGTTCTTAAAGGATAGGCTCAGACAGGATTTTCTTGATAAGGCACTCCCAATTTAAGTGATGGGGGAGAAAATCCAAAAGTGTATCTGAAGTAAATATGAGGCTTCAGCAGTCAAGTTACTGTGTACAAAGTTCTCTCTTTGTGTCCCTCCACTGCAGCTCATCAAAGATACTGTCTAGAAAGCCCAAAAGATGGAATTTTATACTGCTAAAGCCTCATATTAAAGGTAATGTTTATGAGATTTTAACATAAATATAGCAGCAAACAATTATTCTCTATGTAAAGATACAGTGGAGTCATGGTGTCACACTCTCTGTGGTTTTTAATAAAGGATTTATTTCACCCAAACCAGAGTTGGTGATTGTTGGAACACTGGAAAGACTATTAAAGACGGTTTTGGTGAGTCTTCTGTCTCAATCATTTTGTGACATGCTGGTGCTCCAGTGCGACATCCAGTGGCAAGTAATTTTCATATAAATAACCTTTAACTTTTTATTTTGTCGCCCATTACTTTCATATTGGAAGGGCACCAGGAAGAGATTTCCTAATGGTTCGTATGAACAGGGGGGAAGAAAACTCTGTTCATTATTGTTTCAAGAAAAACTATGAACGTATGCTTTAATGTCCCTTTCATATGCTGTTCTAAAATCAAAAAGTCAGCTGTAATATGAGATGATCAGATATCAGGTTGGAGATTATTCACTCTTTCATACTGGATAACTCTTGGCTGCTTCTTCTTCAGGGCTGTAACATTTGCACAGGCTGACACAACAAATCAAAAAATGTCAGTTTCAAACCCACAGAAAACAGTTGCCAGAAAGTTTCCTGTACATTGAACCAGCAACCCACACACTGCTCCACACACTCAGTGAATAGAGGGCACTCTGACAGCGAGAAAGTGCTGATAGAATGGAGCTGTTCGAAACAATGCCAGCCCTCCTGAGATCACTTCATCACATCATCACTTCCTTTGTCTGGTTCAGGTGGGCGGTTGCTGTAATTGTTATCCGTGATGATAAGGTGTGTCACAGATGGCTGACAGTTTTGGTGGAAACTGCAGACTCACCAGTTTTCGGATCTCACACTCCAGGTTCAGGATGCAGTCGAGCTTCCTCTTGCGGCAGCGCTGCGCTGCGATGCGGTTCTTGCTCCGTCGCCTCACATCATGGATGAATTCGAGCTGTTCCGAGGTCAGTTTGTGCATTTTCACCAACATTTGGAAATCGTTCCGTGGAAGATTTGTGATCTGATCTACGGGGAAAGGCAGCTTCACCTGGAGAAAAGAAGAAAAAGAACAGATTGTCACTACTGAGCATTTATTAAGATGAGTGGAAGTTGCCCATACAGTTAAAATACTGAGTTTATCTGTCTTTAATATGGAGTGTGAAGTGTGCCATTATAATGATTATATTTACTCATTGATTAATTAAATTAAAGATGCATTAATTTGCCAACCTGAAAATGTTAAAGCAGGGAACAAATGAACTGTGAAATGGGATCTGATAGGCAGACAGGGTCTTGACTGAAAAATGTTATCAGTTCTTTAATTTTTGCATTTTACGAATATCTTTAAATTTTCCCAGAATACACAGGGTCTGTCTAAATATGAAGCTCGCTTTATCCCTTTATCATTACCACCAGTGTCTAGACTCCTGATACAAATAACAGAGCTTCAACAACCCCTTTAAATACAATGACTCCTCTCATCTGATCAAGCCAAAACCAAGTTTATTAATTGATTATAATTAAACACTTTTGCACGATTTGCATCTCAATTTCAAAACAAACACCAATAAAAACCTCTAACTTATCTGTTTCTCTTAACATTATTCTCTTGTGTGATTTAATGAGGGAGATTCATGAAGGCTTATGGCTAAATTTACCAGCTCCATACAGGAGATTTAGCAGGTAAGTCATGTATCATTGTGCCAGCTTGCTGTTGGACAGTTCCTCCATTTGATCACAAGATGGCAGAAGAGCACTGCCCCACAAGCCTCGCAGCCTACAGCTCTCTCCGCCTCACATTTAACATGTAGCACACTCTCAAGCAGAGGGGAAAAGGTGATGCAAGAAAAGAGTCCCTATCCATCTGTCCCTTAGCATCTGGAAAGGTGCCAGCATGACAGATTGAGGGGGGGCACTGACTTGTCAACCTGATCCAAATCAGTGTCAGGTGATTTCTGGGGGCATGAATATCCGAGCCGGCAACTAGCCTTCACATGCTGCAGAACAAAAGAATTAGTGGAGTAAATGCAGCAGTGATTTGGCAGCGTGAAACCAAAAATCAGAGAGCTGTGTGCTATTTCTTCACCGATATGAGAACATTATCAAGGTTGAGTGTGTTGATTCTCTTTTTCTCAGTTTGGAGAGCAACAATAAGTCAGCCTCTCTCCCTCAGGTGATGGCAAACCTTATGATAAGCACATCATAGGCAGATCCACCCCAGTGGTATCTGTGTGCACCAGGGAGCTGTAGCTTTAGGCAGCGGGTGAAGCAGTGGAGGCATAACAAAGAGCCAGAGGAAGACAGCCGGAGAGCTTGGCAGAGATGAGAGGAGCTGCAGATCCCTTTCTCCTCTCCCTCTCCCTTTCCCTCCCTGTGGCTGCCTCTGCGGAGCGCGTGAAGAACAAAGTCAAACAAAGGAGGAAGAGAGGAGAAAGAGGAGCAAGCGATGCGACTCCACACTGTACCTGACTGCTCGAGCGGGGCCAGATGATCCCCGGAGACCCTTAGCCGCTCAGACGACTGTCGGCACAGGCTGCAGCAGAGGTCTGTTTTTCCAGCAGACTTACACAGCGGTGGCTGAGGCGTCACCTGGTGTAAAGTGCCACACTCAGGGGGATAAAGCAAGGTGCCTACTCATGACAGAATTGAAATTACTCCTTGCTGAAGAGCAAATCTAGATGTCAATCTATCCCTGAGAGAGAAAATGGCTTGAGTTTCCTCATTAGAAGTGGAGCCCTCTGAGCCGCCAGGAGCCCTATTTCTCATCTCAGCTCGACATCTGCATGCAGACACATGAATAAATAATGACCCGCGCTTTCAAGGCCACTCGAGGCCCTCGCTACTTTGCCAGGGCATGACAACTCCAGCCTCAAAGAGAGGCGCGAGGAAAGCTATAAAACATCAGTACGAGCTGCCAGCTCCATGTATAGCAGAGGGGAAGATGACTCTTTTTGTGATTTGATAGCTTGTGTACAGTGTGTACAGAGTGAGCTTTCCCACCACACAATCCAACGGGGTCTTTGGCCAAACCAGGTTAGAAAAAGAAGGGGGGGGAGGAGACGCTGTGACCTTGTGATGGTTTCTTTCTCCCCCTCATCTAGCAGTCACTGGTACGCAGGGGACGGCTAAATTTAGCCGCTACACCACGAGAACCAGTTCAGCAGCAAGGCTGGGATGACAGAGTACGCTTCAGTGGTGGTCATAAATTCACAGCCAACTGTTCTGAATTTACATTTTGTTTCTCAATTCTCTCCATTCCCCCTCCCTACCCTCAGTCACTCCCTTTCTCTGGGTCATTGTGCAGCAAATGGGGTACAGAGTGAAAAGTAGGGCTCATCTGTTATCAGGACCAGCGCTTTGCTGGGCGGCAGCTGCCTGAGTTGTTAAAAAATAATGGATGTTTCACGTACAGGCTCAAAATATCATTTATGTGATTTATGTGTAGGTGAGGAATCCACTTGGCTGTGGCTCAGAGGCAGAGCGGGTTGTCAACTAATCGGAAGGTTGTTGGTTCGATCCCTGGCTCCTCCTGCCTGCCTTGTCGAAGCATCCTTGAGCAAGATACTGAACCCCGAATTGCTCCTGATGCCGTGTATCACTGATCACTGAGTGAATGTGTATGAATGTTAGTTTCTGTTCGATGGCCTTTGCCATCGCTGAGTGAATGTGTGTGAATGGGTGAATGTGGCATGTAGTGTAAAAGCACTTTGAGAGGTTAGAAGACTAGACTAAACTATATATGTACAGTCCATTTACCAGGGGTGAGCTGATCACTTTCACCTGCTGAGGAATCTTTTTGCTACAGGTTCTGGTTTATCACAGCTCGGGTTTTATTTTCACAAACTGGATCAAATCTGTCTGAACTTCTCACTGCTCATGTTTTTGTCCCACTGGAGTCCTCTTCGTGTATCTCGTGTAGAATGTAAAAACACTACCAAATATACAAAAAAACAATAAGACCCAAGTTGTAATAAAGTAGAATTGATCTTTTAAAAGGAGTAGTCTGTCTCTCTTTATCTAATCTCACCCTGTGTCAGATGTGAAGATTCATTGTACAGCTCCCGCATCCAGATAGAATTCTGGGATGTTATGCAAAAATGACCCTCTAACAATACTGCCCCACAACTACGATTCAGCATTTTGGGAACAAATATTTTCTTACTTTACTTAAATATTTATTTTTCTGACAACTTTCGACTCCTTATATTAGAAAGGGGCAACAACAGGCTTGTTCCTTTTTTTTAATGCATTTGAGCAGAAGCATTCAATTATTATCATATTATTCTTTTTTTGCATCATTTCCAACCTTCCCAACATCAAGATCACACATGATGATGCAGATGTAACATGACAAAAGAGAGGCAGACTCAGTCCTGTTTGAACTTCCAGTTAGCTTTGCACACAAACAGCCGGTAGAAATGTCCTTCAGAGAAACCAAGAGAGGACTTTTTACTGTTATACTTTGGGTTCATTTCACCCATTTGCACTTATACTTGAGTAAAGAAGTTGAATCTTTTACCTTTTTTTTAGTATCTGTACTACTACTACAACTTTTCGAGTAAAGAATGTGTGTACTTCTGCCACCTCTGTTCGAAAGACTGTCTGTGTTGAAAGTGAAAAAAGTGAAAAAAGCATAGCGACACTATTTCTTGATGAGCAACAGCCGGGTGCAGTGACTGCTGTGAAGTTTTTCCACAGCTTTTTAAAGTCACTCATGAGGATATTCATGATTATCCCATTAATGGAGATTCACTCTCTGTTCACTCTGTTTTTTATCACAATACACAATAATATCTTCCAATCCTATATATATACTGTACTATAGTGTGTGAGTGGATGAATAAACTGTCAAGAAGTCGTTGTAGAGACATGTAACAGGGTAAATACAGCTGCTACCTGTAAAATGATCTTATCCAATCCTATTAGAGCTCTTACTTTAAAACAAGTCTGAATTGTGGATGTGAGAGCTGATTAGGAAGGATATTTGTGCTGTGTGTGTGAGGCTGGGTGGCTGGCAGCCTGCAGTAGGGTGAGACCTGAGGTGAACTGTAGCAGGGTGGGACAGCTCGATGGATGACCCCTGACCGGGAGGGGTCACTGTGCTCTGCGCTCACCTGCAGTCTCTTGGCCTGCTCTTCAACATTTACTTCATTCCAACACAAGCACTTTCGCACAAAGGCCCCAGGGCTATCAACTCTGATATTTTACCTAGCAGTTTGCTTTAAAAGCTGAAGCAATTTTCTAAAATGATTGCTGCCCAACACCACTGGTCTAGGTCTGTGTAATACTTATACTGTGTCCCTTATCTAATCCAAAGTAAAATGAGATCTTATCTTGTAAGGTGAGATTTAGAATTCCACACATTTTTGTTTCATGCTCTCTCTGTAATTCACCCTATTACATCTCACATGCTTATAAATGGGATTATAATGCAGCAGCACACAAACATGTCTCCAGTCAGATCTTAATGAAGATAATGTTGAGATGTTCAGTATTAACTGTTCTGTCCTGGGGCTTAATCTGCAACATTTTCAGATAAATAAATGACTGAATGAATGAATTTTGTTGCTCTCTTGCTGAATGATGTAATCAGAAATAATATCAATCTGTACCAGGTTCATATAAGGCTGTATTTATGTAAGAAGCATTCAGTGTCATGAAGATATTTCCATGGAAAAATCCTCTTTTTCTGGCAGCAGCAGCAACTGCAGCTTGTATGGGATAAACACAAGGAGAAATGGGTAGTTAGGAAAAATGTGTCAAACTTCATTAACATGAAGTCCAAAAAAACAGCAAACAAAACTTGCAGAACTGGACGCACTGTTTGATTGCCAAGTTATTTCTGGGAATTTACGTGCAAAAACACCACAGCACTGGCCGCCAAGCTGCGGCGACGTGGCCAAAATCAACACAAAAAGAATCTTACAGATTACTACTGTGAAGTAGCTGGATACTAAATGTCTCAGTGCTCCCTCAGGAGTGCCAGGGGATGTAAGGCCCTGCAGAGGAACAGAGTCATTTCTGTGCCCCACCTGGCCCCGTACGGTTTGCTGCAGAAGTAGCAGCATCCTGGGGATCTCCACTCCGTCCCGATCATACACACACTATCTATCTCGCTGACAAAGAGAGAACGCAAAAATATCTCCTCTGTTTGGTCACCTTATTTGTCCTGCTTCACCCAGTGCTCCCCAGCGATGCAGCGTATACACCAGGGGCGATTTGGGGGGTAATGATGAGGCACTGTATCTCATTACCTTGTCACTACATTTTTTATGCGTGCATCAAGCTAGATAAATATAGATTTCAAAGTAAAATGGTAAACAGCACTCCTCTTGCTCAGTCTCCCTCTGCATGCTCTGTAGGCAACAAAGTAAAGCTCCCTGTGTTATAATGAGTGAGTTTTTAATATACATCGCCCTTGTTGAATATACATTTAAGAGGGAAATAAATGGGCAAACATCCCTCTGATTTGAAACTTCAATAAGTCTACTTCCATGTATCACACAGTGTGCAAACACTGGCCTATTTCATTGTTTGTCTTTATAAGCCACTGGAGCCAAATCTTCTCCCATTCAGCTACACTTATCATCAACATTTCACTGGATCATTTTAAAAATACTGTTTCTTTTCCAGCTGACACTGATAGATGTTGTCATGTTGCTTTAATAAATCACACATAGTGCCCAGGGATGACAGAGTACCGTCCCTTGAAAAAGGCACCATTTCCTATTTCATCTGATATCTTATGTATTTCTATTATCACTATTGGATATGACTAAAACAAGTTAACAGTTCCACAGCTAACATTATGAATGGCAAATCAGACTCAGACCACAGCCACATCATATCTGGAGTAGAGCAAAGGTTGTTTGGCATTGAGCAAGAGTAGCAGAACTGATATTAAGGCCTGTGCACTTCCTGTCACACGTTCATTCTATTTCATGTTTCGCCTGATAAAAAACAAACAAACAATGTGCTGATGTATCAGGACTACTTCCTCATTCCTCCCACTCGCTCTGAGATCAATATTTGCAGCGCTGTGGCCAGACGATACGCTAGAATGAGCTCAACGCCTACACTGCAACTGGAAGCTGCAGCTCTGAGAGACACAGAGAGAGGAGACAGACGGTGGTACAAATGGTGCTGTGAAGAGATGCATTGTCTCAGCTGAGATGCTGGTGGTTGCAGTGGCAAGGTGTCAGCACTCAATTTATCCTATAGCACTGTCCAATCCCGGTGGGATGTTGGCAGCCTGTGTCATTGTACCCTCTCATCTCCTCACTGACTTGAGACCTGTCATGTGGCTCTGCTTGGAAGCAATTGCAAAAGGCCATTAAAGAAAGCCTATGGATAGCTAAAGAGCAGTTACTGAGGAGATATAAAGTCAGTGAACTGACTGAATTTAAGTTACACAACAAGATTTTGCTCAAGTTTGCGCCTAAAATAAGCCACACTGGTCATAGAGAGTGTTAAAATGAGAAATGTGTTTTGTTTCTATTGGATTCCACTCTAATTGGAATTATGATATAATGTTGAATTCTAAAACACAGTGTAATGTCCGTTACCCAGTGATATCAATCTATAAAGTTTGGTAACCTTAGCTAACATTACACACCATACTGGTCTTAGAAGGTATTAAATGAAGTAATATGTTTTATTATTTATATGAAATAATGATTGATGCTATAACATAGTATAATAGTACCACAAGTAGAGTCATAAAGTTATTGAACTGGCTCAGTAATGTCCGTTACCCAGTGACATCTTCACCAAATTGAGCAAAAAAGACATTTATGTTCTAATGGTTATGGGATAGTTGTGCTTAAAAAGTAACAAAGGTGTAACAATGAAGTCAGTAAACTCACAGTATTGTCAGTTACACAAAACCTATTCAAAGTGTGCTAATCGCTTACATTAGCGTTCTGGTGATACCAGACTGTCTGTAGAGAGTGTACTAAATTGAGAAAATGTTTTGTTGCTAATGAATTTGTAACAATTTGTGGCATTAATGGTGAATGAAAATATTTGACCCTAATCCTGATCCCCAACAACAAAAACCCTACCAACCCCATCCTAGATCCAGCCACTATATACCCAACAGCATTAAGTCCAGTATTTCCTAATTTAATTTTCACATTTCCATTTCACCTTTACACTATATGTGACTTTCTATGAAGTGCATTGCTTTTAGAATTCCATCATTGCTATTGTATAGTCAGTAGTCATTACTGCTGTCATAAGACCAATTTGTAGATCTAAACCACTGTGGAAAAACACATCAAAATCCCCTCATAGAGCAACACATGGGTCCAACTTTACATTATTAAGTAAAGAATATATTATTTTTCTGTCAAAAGTTGCTTAATCTCTCCTTTGAGGTGATTGTGCTGTCTGCTGTGTGAGGCTGCTGATTGTTCTCTACACAGATGTGGCTCATATGAACGCAACAGCCCATAACCACAGAGCAGGAGCTGCCCAGAGACCTCAAGTGACTCTGGCTACCTTGAATGACTAGGCTTTGGTCAGACTGGCCTGCGCTTTAACAACTTCCTTCCTCATCGGCATTCATTGTGCTCAGTCCACAGTCTTGGGCTGCAGCTATTTTTACCAAAGCTCTTTTCCCCCTCTGCCATTTACTCTGCAAATACAGTGAGGCCAGCCTTCTCCCTGTGTTTGTTTGTACGGCAGAATTATAGAGAGGGCTGGAGGGAAAAAGAGTGGCCCAGGAAGCATGAGGTAGCATTTCTACACCACATAAAGGCCGAGGGGGAGTAACCTAAAACTGAGCTTCATTTTGTAAGTACCTCTCTGTGACCTCCACCAGTGCAATAAACTGCAGAACAGGCAGTCCGGGAAACATTCATTCATAAAGGACCTTATCGCTATGTGATAGTGAGTGGAAAGCTGGAAGATAACCTGTGTAAGAGATTTGACAGAGGATATTGTGTGGGGTAATGGAGCAGCTACAATGGCTGACACATACATATATAAACACAGCCATACCCACACAAAGAAATGACAAAGGGAACTGAAATGTCTCAGAGTCATTTTTGGGCGGCTCTCCTGGTTGATAGCTCAGTGCTGTAAATCAATCCCACATAATTTACAGCAGCCCATTCAGCAACCCCTTCAAAGGCCCATAAATCTGATGGTGATGGGTGTTGTGCGCCATGCTACGAAGGTAATAATTACACATTACTGCTGAGCCTCTTTATCTTGCAGCTCTGTTTGTGCAGTGGAACCAAATTCTTTTTCACGGGAAAGCACAATCCTGTCGTGTAGCTCCAACCCTTGCAACACACCGACTTGCTCTGTGAATGCGATCACCATGGCAACGCACCACTTTCTCTATCTCTCCCTTTCTGCTCCCTCTGTGCACTAAGATCTCCACCAAGCTCATCAAAAATAATTCTGCCTACACCTCAAGGAAACATTGCTGAACGTGATTTTGCAGATAGACTGGTGGTAACATGGAGCCTGCTGGAGGTCAGGAGTTCAAGCTCTGAAACAGCCAACATATGATGTCACAGTCTAGAGAAAGACATGACAATGGTAGTGTCATATTAAATCCCCATAACTGACTGTAGTGATGTATAATTTATTGTAAAGGCATTTCAAATCCCAACCAGGGAAACAACAAAGAGCTCATTTTCCGAGCTCCTAACAGTACTTGAGAGGCATTTTGAAGATACTAGACAAGAGCAGCATGTGTCAATGCAAGACCTGAGATGCAGACGGAAATTTTAATCATTAAAGTGATTAAACAGCCGTGCTACAAGGAAGCAAAGCTAGTCTTTGTGAATTCATTTTATTGTCTTTTGCTTTCCCTCAGGTGGGAAATCTGCTCATTTCGATGTTATTACACCTGCATTGTGCTGCATCTGTGAATTAGAGGGTCCCCTTGCTGATCTTTACCCGGTAAACAACAACAGTCGTCTAGTCTGCAGCTTGGAGGACGTCTGCCCAGGTGGATTAGGGGAGGATGATTAGAGGATTGGCTATTCATCCTTGTCAGCACTGTTGAGCTGCGTTACAACCGAGCTGAGCCTCTCGCCCACTCACATTCAACTCACTGCAACCTCCGCTCCATTAAAACTTTATGGCCATAGCACATCACTGCTGTAAGGTATTGCATCCCTTTGCGATGCACTGCACACCTTCACGCCGGCTGGGCATCACAGCTAATTGTTGATAGATGAGAAATGTCAGAAGTCGGTAAGGCTGCACTGAGAATTAGCATACGCATATTTACGAGGGGATTATAGATGTGGTTGTTTCTGCTGGGATAAAAAGCTAGTTAGGCTAGTTGGCACTGGCAGGGAGACAGACAGAGCCAGTGGAAATCACTTCAGAGGGCAGTTCTACCCTGGGGAGAATCCTGAACCTTCAAACGCCTGCAGTGCTTCTCTTACACACGCTACTCTCAGCTAAGATAATCAACCAGTCACTGTCTTAAAAACAACCTCCTGTATTTAGACTGCCCTAGTACTTTGGGCTCACATATTCAGACTCATTACACAGATCTCCAGCAGTGCATAAAGCAGATTAATAATATCAAAGCACATCTGTGGCCTTTGGTGGTGCTGTAAATCTTGTACTGAACACTCCTGCTTCAATTACATGATGATTTAATGACTGCTAATGCAGACCTGGAGAGCAGGCCACTGCGATATAATTAGCCATGATGGAATTGAGCGTGATGGCTACATTGTGTGTTACATGTAAAAGACAATGTTTTACACTCACCTCTGGCCCTTGCTCCTGTACATGGCAGGACTCGCTGTCTCCCTCTGAGAAGGAGCCTGACTCGTCGCTGGAGTTGGTGCCGTAGGACTGCTCAAATTTGATCTTGGGCCGCACCTGGTTAAAAAGGGCATCCCCTCCCACACTTTGCTCCTGCTGGTCCACATTGAGGCAGCGTGCCACATTGGAGCACGGCGAGGAGGAAAACTCAAACTGGGGCAGGCTGCAGGGAGAGCCTCCGCTGCCATCCTCCGCATAGGAGTATGAAGAGCAGGAACTGGAAGTCCTGGTGCGTGTCTCACAAGGCGGCGAGCGTGGGCACACTTTGATTGGCACTGGGCAGCTGGTGTTGGGCCGTGGGCGGCACAGGATTGGGGGCTCAGAGGAGGTGGTGCTGGGAGAATAGGTCTGGGAGCTGGGGAGGGACTGGCTGGTTCCACCCCACACGCCCTTTGGCATGGGCTCAGTGAGCTCCATCTCCAAAGAGTTCCCACCAGGGTAGGAATGCGCTGGGGTTCCCAGACGGTTGCAGGCCCCTGAGGAAAATATGACACTACGGCGGTCTATCTCAACTTCCTGTTTGCAGACCCCATCACATGAAGTGGACTTGAGGGACAACCCTGCAGGGAAACCGTCCATGTCCTTTGGGGATGTAACCGACAGACCCAGCTCCCCAGTGAAAGGCCTGAAGTCTTTTTTATGATCTCCCTGAGAGTTTCCTTTGTCCTGGGGGCAGACAAGTCTGTTGGCGAATAGCTGCTGTGATGTGTTGGGCAGACTGGGGTGGTCCACCCCTTTCTTGAAGAAGGCTCGGAGGCAGGAAGGGGACTTGGTTCTCTTGTTTCTTTCCACAGATATTGGGTTATCCATCTCCATGGCTGTCACACTGTCCTTATCCCTGACGTCCTGCTCGTCCCCTGACAGGCACAATGAGATGGCCTCTTCCTCTGCCTGTGGTTCAACTTTGATCTGGGCCAAAGGCAGCCTGCCCTGACCTGGCACTGCCCCACTTACGCTGCTCTCCTTTAATGTGCTTGGAAAACCTGAGGTACTGGTGTCTGAGGAGGTGTCATTATTGTGCTTGTTACAAGCCCACTGGTATTTTCTGTACTTGGGGCATCGTGGCAGGTCTGACGCACCATGCCGATCAAAGTCCAGACGACCATCCATGAAGTTACTGGGCACAGCCATCGCTAGCCTATCATCATCAGGGTGTCGAAAGGAGGACAGGGCGTCGGCACACCGCCGCGCCCTGGGGGAGGTGGGCCTTTCCACCTCTGACTGCATGCTCTCATCCTCTGAGTTGTTCACCTCCGCCGCCACCTTGTGGCAGAGCAGCAAGCCGTCCTCCTCACTGCGCAGCTGAGCTTCCAGGAAGCGAAAGCATGAGTCCTCGAGGTTGTGCATGCGCAGGAATTCAGCACAGCGGATGACCTCCTGGATGTTTTCTCTGCTGAGTAACAGCTTAGCAGTGTAGGCAAACTGCAACAATGGGGCGAATCCCCTGGCAGTGACCTGCAAAAAAACAGGGAAATTGCCAGCATTACCATCAGCACAGCCATTGTTCAGAGCACTTGGAGTGTGGTGAGACAACCCGACAGCTCCAACAACCATAAACAAACACTGTAAAGTACCGCTTAATCTTTTTATCGGGTCAGCACTGAACTTTCTATACAGCAGTAAATAAGAACTGGTGCTCTGGGGATGTTTGGCAGGTTGTGTCCAGCCTGATGTTCATAATAACAACCTGTGGGACATTCCAGCAGTCTACCACTGTCTGCTCTATGGTCCTATTATTGGTTTTGCCTTCACCCACTCCTGTCGCTGCTTTGTATTTGCACAACCCCTACTTACTTGAGGTAAGATGTCTAAGCACAAGTGCTGCTTTACATTCATTCAATTACATGTATTTACTGTTGGCAGCAGGAATCGATATATAGAAAATGCTGCCTTAAGTGCTCTGCTGGAGGACCAAATGATGGTGATCCTTAAAAAAGAATCAACAGTTATGTTTGTGACTTATACCTAAGACCGATATCAAGTTTTAGTACTCAGGTTTTTTTATCAGTTCCAACAGATTTGGTCCGGCACCAAGCTAATACTTTTTTCATACGTCATACCTGAGAAACAAATGGATTAAAATTATTTTAAATTGTTAAATATTTGTTTAAACAGAAGCAGCCTAAATAAAATGCTCTAAATCTGCAAAACTGTGATTTAAATCAAATAAAAGTAAATAAATCACAAATCTGACCACACACTCAATGTCGGCTGATATTTTAACCTTCAGTTAAAAACTGCTCTATACCGTCAGTGCTCCGATCGGGGCCCACTTTCTATGTCAGTGCCCTGCATCCTCAGGTCAAGTGCCTGTAAAGCCTAATGGTTTGTAAGACTACGGCTTATCCCCGTTGTGGCCATGTGGCACTGGATGATAGAGGGAAGCCTTCCATTTAGACTTAATGCCAGATAATTAGGTAAACTCCTGAGCCTGCAGAAGTCCAGCCCACCCTCTGCTGCTGTTGTCACTGAGCACACATACGAGAGAAAGGAGCCAGAGGAGCCAGGCTTAAATATGAGGCTTGTCTGCTGTTTGGAGATCAGTGTGAGGTTCACACTAGGTTGTGTTCATCACTTTACTCAGGTTTTAGCACCCAATCCCTGCAGCTTTATCCTGGTTTATTCTCTGGTGACAAACAAATTACTGTTAGGCGCTTGGGGAATGCAATCAAACCACACACAGAGGAAAGGTGCGCTCACAAACACAATTACAATGGGCTCACTTTGAATCTTAGACTGTATTATTTGCTCTGCAAAGCACCTCTTCAGAGGCTGAGTGATGTAAAGTCTTTCTTACAAGACTTAACAGAGGCTCGCAGATGTATGGGATGAGCTGCACAATGTGGTTTTAATGAGCCCAATGTTAACGGATTGTTTTGCTGCCTTTGTTGGGGGAAACAAGAAGATGAATTACCCTAGGTGGAACCGTATCCAATGTATGAGCACTGTAGCAGCTTCCAGAGGTCCAGCAGTCTCTGCCAGACACCCCACTTGTAAAACAGGATTTTCCCTCCTAAGTGATCGAGCTTCAAAAACCACAGAATTTACTCTGTGGATTTTTCCACCCGGAAAAACAACTAAGCAGTATGCACGAGGAAACACAAATATGTCAGTAAAAAATAGCTTGAGGTCATCTGAGTGAGTCTAAGAATGTATTAAATCATCTGGCTTTGTGGATTTTCAGTCAGATGAATAAACATATACATTAGGTTGCTGTTTTTTGTTATTTTTAGAGGCTTAAACCTAGTAGAGCCAATACTTTACTGACTCAGTCCTTGTTCACTTTCCAAAAATACTGTGTGAAATTAGAGATAATACATGCTAGAGGCTCAGAACACAACAGCACAATGGAGGATGTGTGTGTGCCAATTTGAATGGAACATGACCCCAAAATACAGACAGGATTATGTGATTAAAGAATAGATATGAGAATTAGAGCTTTAAATTGTAAAACACCCAACTTGACTTTCAGCTACCCTCAATGATCTGCAAGATTATGTGTCAGAACAACTGTACTAAACCGAATCTGGATTTAAACTGTGGTCGGCTCACACTATCTGCAGTTCCCCTGTGTGCACGCTGACATTCATACTGCACTTGTTTATGATGGTCTTTACACAGCATACATGTTCTCAGTACATTAGTGGTTATGTGGTTAGGTTATTAATATTGTTCCTTGCACCTTATCTGTATTTTATTCTATTGTATAGTATTTTATTTTATTGTATTTCTATTGTATTTTAATGTACCTGGCTGCTATGATGACCCAATTTCCCTTCGGGATTAATAAAGTCTATCTATCTATCTATCTATCTATCTATCTATCTATCTATCTATCTATCTACTATGTCCATTGTCATAGCTCCTTTGGCAATATAAATAAAAGATAAACTGTATTTATTTTTCATATTTTACCTATGTAGTTGACTGTTTTTTTTCCAAACATTAAAGAAATGTTGTTTCATTAGCCACACAGCCGGGAATACAATTCTGGTGGGGAACATATTTTCTCTGTGCTCAGAAATGAATAATAAATTATGTTATTCATTTCTGAGCACAGATCAAATATGTTAAACTCCAGGTTCACTTAACAAGCTTGCTTTTTCCAAATCTTCAAATCTAACCCCACATCATTCTACACTTTAATTTATTGATTGTAGGAATCAGTCCCGGCAGGAAATTCCCAGGAAATATATGAGTGGTAACTATAGCTGTGTACTTGTGACAGTTTTAACCACTGCATTGTAGATAAAATGTTGTGACAGAAATGTGATTTAAAGGCATACTATGCAGTTTTCTGGTTTTGTCAAACAGCTACCCCTAGAGTCGCTGTGGAGTACTTGTATTTAACGTTAACTGTAGTAAATACCACTCACCAGAGCCGTCTCTATATACGACTCTGCGTCTCTGCATTGCTGGTTCTGCCAACGGCGTCCCTCTCCAGCTTTGCTATCGGGATGATTCGCTATACTACGAGTTCGTTTACCATCAAAATGACTTCGAAGCAGTTATATTAAGGTAAAAATCTTGCATAGTGTGCCTTTAAGTAAGCTAGTATGAAGACTACATGCTAGTGATTGATACTGCTTATTTCAATCCTTGTTGTGTTTTTCAGTACATTTAATTTTCCATTTTTATGATCCATTACCTTTACAAAACACATTTTAGTGGTAATTTAAATGCTGTTTTAACAATTGGCTATTTTGGTGGAAAACAAATATGCTGTCAGAAAAAACAGTATCCAAATCCCAAAAGTGTTGATACTGAACACCACAGTAAAATGTCAACGACATATTACTATGTTAATAGAAAACATGATTTGGTTGCCAGAATAGTTGTATACCGATATAAACGTAATTTCTAAGAGACAGTGCTGCCCATAGGTGTTTTGTTGTAATCTGATGACCGTGATGGCTACAGCATAAGATTAGTCAAATTTATCATGTCAGAATAATAGATACCCCTTGAGATGTATCATTTTATCTTTTAAGGGGGTCACATAAAAATGTCACAGTGCATGATGTTAACTGCCTAACTTATGTGTTTAACTCATCAATTCCACCATCCATTTATCCTGTTGTCCCTCCCTTACACATTGTCCTCTCCCTTGAACCATAGTTGCCTATCCACTATCTGTGAGTCCCTCTTGAAAAGCTATAAATAAATGTGTTTCTCATTTCATAATGTAACTGTGGTGGCTGTAAAAAGAGGCGCTTCTTCTTGACAGCAACAGCTGTCAAATCTTACAATATTTCTTTCAGCTGGCACATGACAGCTCGAAATATTTCCCAGATGGGTTAAATGGGATAAGTCAGTTCTTGTGGCCCTGTTACCTACATTTCTATGTAGGCATTTGATCAACCATGCTATAAAAAGCAATGTAAAGTTACACTTGCATAATTAGATGTGTCTGTTTTTGTGCTTAAATCTTAATTCTCGTGATAATTTAATTTATACATGTGCTCAGTTTCTTTGTTGCTATGATACAGAAAGTCAAATGTTTATGCTGTAAAACATCATACCAGCACCCGTCTAAACAGATGTGTTATATGTCCTAAATACACATCTGTTTGCATACGGTGTACAATGTGTGATGGGACTGCTATAAAATGTAAGATATTTCTGTGCTTTTTGATCTGCAGGGTGGACTCCAGCTGAGTCTAGCAGCTGAACCTCCATCCTGCTTGTATTTCACCCAATGCATCCGCAGGCTGCAGCCTCCCAGCATGCCTCTGGTTTAAAGCCCCTTGCAGTGAGCTCTGGCTCACAGACAGTCCAACAGCACTGGGCATATCAGTCATTGTTAAGAGGAAGCTGCTGACTCCCTATGTGTGAGGGGGGATGGTGTGTGAGTGTGTGTGTGTGTGTGTGTGTGTGTGTGTGTGTGTGTGTGTGTGTGTGTGTGTGTACCAGAGTAAGTGGGTAGGTGGGAGTGTGTGTGTGTCTCAGTGTGACGGATTGGGGGGAGGGTAGAGGCTTTGACTGGACTATCCGCTCTACTGATGAGCACAGCACATCCACTACGCTACTGCTGCAGCACCGCTCTGGACATACACTTACACACACGTACACACACATTTCTGTGTATGATGACATACTTGTATGTGCCCTTTAGGCTGCTCTTTTATCTTCCAAATCATGTTGCTAGTTTTATGATCTTTATGATATTTTCTATTTCTGCATTAAAGAACTATCCCAAAGATTTACTCTTACATGTCCAAAACTTCAAAGACACATATTAGAAAAAGAATGGTCAAAATCTGAGCATCACAGGCAGTGATATCCTGACTATTAGTCCCTATATAGGTCAATCCCTCAAAATACTGAATCCTGTATTTGTGCATGTAGACACAAATTTGCTCAAGGTGGCACAAATATAGGCAACATGCATCTTAGTGAGTTGAAAATTCTAGCTGGACATCTATGGCTTCCATAATATTGTACTTTCATAATTC